CATCAGGTATAAAATGAATTGGCTCCTTAGAAAACATAAGAGGAGATTCTTGGTTTTTCACCATTCACACATAAATTAAATTTTATAAATTAATATGTCATTTTATTTTAAATTCATTCTGAGTATATCTGTAATTAAGACTTTTCAATATTTATAAACTTCTGTAAAATTATGTATTGACATCTGGAAGTTCAAGGTGATTCTTGTAGTGCTTCTGGTTTTGCACTTTTAAGTAGTATATTCTGCCTCTGAAATTTTTCTACAATCTTTGTTAAGTTTCCAAATGTGTCATCTAATTTGAAACAGACTCACTGCTGTTTTCAACTATATTGGGTTTGTGGGTTAAATATATGAGATAGAAATAACTGAACAAAATGTGTCTTTCTGAGGCTAGACATTCCAATTGGGTCTCTGCAACCAAGACTATAAATCTGGGAAGGATTTATGAAACTTTGATACTTTTAAAGTAATGATCAATGGGTGTGAACACTTACATGTTCATCTGTTTAATTTATAGGAAAAGTTGTGTTTGACGAAGAGTGGGGTCAGAGACGACGAGATAGCTGGGACATAAGTACAAATAAAATACCTTCCTCGTATTATGTAAGATTTGACACACCAAAAGTAAATGATGGAAAAAGAAATGGGGCTCAGTTTCCTCCATCTTCTTCCAGCTGGTTGCCCCTCATGTCTCTGATGTCAGCTACTGGAAAGGAAATGGGAAATTAATGTGAGTGAACACACACACTTGTTCAAAAGGGAGACTCTGAAACAGGATGTTCACTCTGTGGTTAATACCAAGACCGGATTCCTAGCTTTGCCATTCCAGCCCAGACTAACTTGCATTTATATCTGAGCAGGCTCCTTGGAATGTCTGACACCATTAACCCTGCAGGCAGAAGTGATGGACAAGGACAAATGAGGGACTTCTGTCTGCTTCTACTATGACAGAAGCTTCAGGTGATATTGATCAGTTGGTCATCCTCATCTGGGTGGAGCATCACAAAGAAAACCAACCTTGGAAGAGAAAAGAAAAAGGTCAAATAAAACTAAAAAGTTGTGGTAACAGTGAGTCAGAGGAGCACATTAAATACAGAGAAACACTGAATTGCATGATGAGCAAAAGTTAATTGCAAAGATAAATGAACCAGGTACAGCATGCAAAGGAAGGTCTGAAGCCCTTCTGCTGTGGAAAGAACAGTGAGCTCTTAGAAAATACAAATAACTGAACAGTGGGATCATAACTACCTATTCTCTAACATGGAGACAAGAAAACCTCCAAGTGATTTTTTTTTCTACAATTGAGCATATACTAGAGTAGCCAAGATTGTAAGATACTATAAGATGAGATGAATTTGGGCACTGAGGTTTTGTTACTCCACGTGAGAGAAGAAAGATAGTTTAATATTCAGTGTCCTTGTGTAATGACTCCATTACATTTCAACTATGTACTGACTCATTTCTCCAGCCACATAAACTCTTTTGACTATGTTTAGGTTTCTAGGGTGAAATGGTATAGACTGGTTCATTTGTTTCAGCTCTTTGCTGTGCCTCAGGTGTAGAAGGGGTAAGCACCATGCCTAGCATTACAGGATGGACAGCTAGAAGTTTGAACATCAGAAGTTAAGGTATGTACTCTAAGACTTCTCTGCTCAAGTCAGTCACAGTGGCTTTCAGCTTCTTCCATTTACCTCTCAGTTCTTGCCGGATCAATGCCAGTTCAATTACTGATGTTCTTTATGCTCAAAACCGTAGTGCCAGTCTGAAGTGTGCTTTTTTAAATTCTATGTAATCATTCATTTCTACTCTATTAGCCCATTTGTATATGATAGGCTCTAAATTAAAAATAACCGTTATTCTATAATCTTATAGAGTTCACAATCTGGTGCACATGAAGGAAACAAAATTAAATTATTTACCTGAATAAAGAAACTTTTTATGGAAAAAGTGAAATTAAAATTCTAAATGAACCTAAACCTAAAGTCTGGCACAAAAGAGTAGCTATTGAGAGTCATTGTAAGGGAGTCACTAGAAAAAGTGCAGCATTCAGGGCCAGTTATTCTCATCTGTGTTTCTCTTGTTCCATTTCTAAGTAGGACAAATAGATATACTTCAACAGTGTACTATGATAGAGCTATATCCTTAAAATGTATTCTAAACTAGACTAGCGTGTTAGTTTACAAAATATCATCCATATGACCTATATAACTCAAATAGTAGGTTTGAAAAACACTTGCACATTTATTCCATTGTAATTAAACTTTTATCTAATCTGCCAATACGTTATTATTTTTAAATTGTGTGTGTATGTGTGTGTGTGTGTGTGTGTGTGTGTGTGTGTGTGTGTGTGTTGTATTTATGTATTTACAGAGGTGAAATAACCTATGCATATGTGTTTGGTGACCAGAGATGAATCTTAATTTTCCCATATTGCTCTTTACCTTATCTATCTATCTATCTATCTATCTATCTATCTATCTATCTATCTATCTATTATTTGATACCATCTTTCACTGTACCTGGGACTTGCTGTTTGCTAGAGTGTCTAGCCAGTGCTGGGGTTACTGATACATGTTGTACCTGGCTTTTGCATGGGTACTAGCCATCTAAATTCAGGTCCTCACCCTTCACTATTAAGCACTCTACCCTCAATATGATCTCTAAACTCCTATTATTTTTCTTAAATTGACCATAATCAATGAATTCTGAAGTGAATTTTCAAATATTTTTGGCATGTCTCTCTGAAATCTTTTGCCTAGTGTTCATATACAAACACTGCATATGTTACAGTGGTGTTTACACTACCACGGTGCCTGGTTTTATCCTCTGCTATTTATAAGTTTGAGAATGCATATCTGCTCAAGGGTGGCCAGTTTGTGTGCAATGAAAGAGGGATAAAGTGAAGACTTGGACTCTATTCCCTTTTCTGTCAATGCCTTATTTGTATTCCTGGATAATTCCTGCTTTGGGCCAATATTTATTCTGTAGACCAGATTCAAAGTAAAGCTCTGTACTAGACATTATGAGCACATAAACCAAAGAGAGGTGGGATTATCCATTAAGAAGCCAGAGAGGCTGGAGAGGGAAATAAGAGCAGAATAATGCAGTACAATCTATATCAAGTATGTTAAAGGCTATAAAGGTAAAATGCAAACTTCTGAGGAGTGTGAATTCCAAACCTGGATCCCTGAAAAGGAAAGCTGCAATACAAAAGAGGCCAGGAATAGTATCCCAGCATTTGAAAGGTGCACGTAGGAGGTTCAGGCATTTGAAGTCACCCTCAGTTACACAAATGAGTCCAAGGACACACTGGGTCACAGAAGTCCCTGTCCTAAAATGAAAAAAAGAAGAATAAAGAAATGATAAAAAGAAAAAAATACAACCTAGGACCACCACTCTTCATTGATGAAAGGCATTACTGAAACTTTTTGTATATTTACAGATTTAAGTTGGACTACAGAAAGCAGAACTATAATCTTTAAATACACTCTTCTGTGAAATTGAAAAGGTTATCACATTTGCTCCTTAGGCTTTTAGGACACACTGAATGATGAACTCCAGGTTTGCTTAGAGCATACAGACTGCATAAGGATTCACAAATGTACTTTTCTGTGTACTGTAATAGTGTTTCTTTCTTCCTAACATATAATGTTAGATATAAGCATATATTCTTACACTAAACCTTATAAAATGGTCCTTTACTTAAGACAAAACTTATAATTCTTTCACTCATAATTTATACCAAATTCCTCTGCCATTTTCACCACTAGAAAATAAAGCAGCCACCTTTTTGGTACTGAAAGCATACTTTCTTTCAAAGCTATAAAGCTTCTGTATTAATAGCATCCCAAACATTCCATAGTGGTGGCTCAACATGCTGAAATGTGAGTTCAGAAAGCCCATTTTGATGTCCACTGTTTACTCTGACTTTCAGTGGGGGATACTGAACAAGGGTCTACAGTTCAGTACTTGAATCTGTGGTCCACTTAGGGAACCACACTGAGGGTACCTGGCATCGTTCAGAAAGCCAGAGAGACGGGCAAAAGTTTGCTCCTGACATTTTTCAAATGATTTCCTAAACAGAACTCTTCTATTTGACTTTTTGAAAGGAGGTTTCATTGCTAACAGAGTGGGATTCAGAGGTGGACAGATGACTGTTAACATGGAGGAAAAGGAATCTGGTGAAGGGTCTGGGATGAATAAAAAAAGAGAGAGAGAGAGATGGAGAGAAGAAAGGTTGAGAACAGAAGAACTTTGATGACAAAAGATTCTTGATAGTTGAATTTGTTGAGGGGAAAACACCTCATAGCATCATATTGTTTAATGAACTTTCTAAGGCAGGAAAGAAACAAAATTAATCTTTAATCCAAATACTGAATTTTAATTATGAGAGGAGAATTCTTCTTTTTCAATAGGACAAGCAATTGAATTCAACAAGCAAGAACTAAGAAAGACTGCGATAGCACACCCCCAACACCCAGAAGAGCTGCACTGTTCGTTATAATTCAGTAATGCCTTCTTTTCACAGCGCAGGAAATCAACTTGTGCTGAAAATTTTATAAGAACCAAATCCTGTACTCAGAGAGATATGCATTAAAACAATTTCCTTAGAGAATTTATTTGAAGTTCTTCAGTAATCCATACCACAGTCAGTTCTTCCTTTATGGAAAGAAGCTATCTAAATCACCCAGCACAAAGCAAGGACCTTTAGACACAAACCTGATCATGATCCATATTCAGACATCTTCCATGATATGTAGTCCATACTAGAAACTCATAAATTCAGCCAAACAGAAACACTGATATTGAAACAGAAGTTACGATGGAATGGTCCATCAGCCACACTCAGACATGAGCCTCAGCATCACATCAGAAGCACAGAATATCAGCCTAAACAGAGTTCTTGCTGAACAATGTCTTTCTTCACAGTGATATAAAAATTGATGGAGTACAGCTTGAGAGGGAAGGAAAACTAACAACATGAAATGAAACATTGCTCTCTCATTCAACCACAGAAAGTACACATGGCAACTGAACTTTGGGGAGCAGGGGCTCTTTTGGCTGCTGACCCACACAATTTTATCAGCAGACAGACTCATTATCATATGGTTATCAACTTACTCCAGCCAAAAAAAAGTTCACAAATACTTAGCAGTCATGGTGGACATTAACAAGGTCTGGCAGGCCGATTTAAACCATATTATGTTCATGTTCATATTCTCACTACAAACTCTTTTCACTCTGTTGATATGTGGCAGCAATTATCACAGCTGTTTTCTTTTCCTTGGTTGGATTCACTGCAAAACAGTCCATTGCTTTCAGACCTTACCAGTTCTGATAAGGTACAAATATTTACTTGGCTTAGGTGCAGGGACAGACACAGAATAAAGATTTTTATAGTACTTTTTTTTTTTTTTAGAAATAGAATGGCTAAAAAGGGCCAAACATTGAGCTTAGTGTGTTTTTGAGACAATGTCTTTTGTATCCAAATCTAGCTTTGGACTTAGAGAGTTGAGGATGACACTGAACAGTTGACCCCCCTTTCCTCCCTCAAGTGCTAAGACAACAGCTGTGTGCCACCATGTCTGACTTACAAGGTGCTGGGATTGGACTCTGGAATCCATGCATGCTAGGAAAGCACTCTAACAGCTGAGTAACATCCCCAGCACCTAGAATAATATTCTTATATGTTCTATGGAGAACATTAATAAATAACTATGATGTGTAATTTCTTTAGGGCAGTAAAGTAGATATGAATGTGTGATTTTAATAAGCATGGAATACCTGTTAACCAAGGCTGAGGTATAAGATTGTTTGAGGGCAGTGTGGACTACATAGAGACTTCTAGGATATGTGGATCTAAATACATTATGATACCTTGGTGGAGAGAGGGAAAGAGAGAGAGGAAGAGAGGGAGAAAGTGAGAGAGAAAGAAAGAGAAGCTTGTTCAGTCAATTGTAAATGAGTCAAGAAGTACTACTTTCTTGCTTTTTAGTTTATTTGATTTTTTCCCTCCAATTTCTTAAGGTTGTGAGAAGAAAAGTTTATGGGTAAAGGACTATACAAAGCAACCGCACTTTGAATACATCTCAACAATCATGCAGGAAATACTTCTGATCATTTAATATGAATAAGCAGAAATCTGAGCAAAATTAAAAAAAAGTTTAGAACGAAGAAGACAGGCATCTCATGCCAAAGTTTATATCTTCTGATATATGATTTCTTAATTTTACCATAAATGCCAGCATGACCAATACCAAAATGACAGTGTGGCTTTGGTCTAGAGCTAACATTTCTAGAGCTCTTACATGAAAACAAGGATGTGATATTAGATTCTTGAATCTAATGGTAATGCTACAAAAAAAAAGAGTGAAACAATAAAAACAAAAGGTCCACATTTTACTAAAAATAAAATAAAATAAAATTGAAACTCCTGGATTTTTGTTACATTGCTAGAAATATATACTTCTATCCATTCAACGAAAATCACAGGTCAAAGTGAAGTGTGTGTCTTTGAGTATTTCCTAGAAATAATGACTAGGCAGCCCCAAGGACTGCTGTAACATCCTCGGGGGTTTGGTTACTTCTATAGTTCTTCTTAATTCTATAGCCACTTGTTACATAATCT